TCTTCAACGACCATTCATGTACATGGCACTAGTATTTACAAAGTTTATAACCAACCGAGTGCGTCAAGTTAATTGTAATCCAGTATAATGGAAATTTTCGAGGCTAGCCGTACGACTACAATGTGTCCTGAAGGTTCGAGGAAGAGCGGGAAGTACGACCATTCTATGAATATGTACGTGATCGACGACTGGAGAAATGGGTCCTTGGGAGTGGAGCGGACTGTAAGGAAATAGCACTGCGTAAAAGTGCAAAGTTCTGGCCGTAACCAGTGCGCTTTAAGGCGGAAATAGGTATAGACAAGGTTAGCCAGAGGGGAAGTAAGTTTATGCTACAGTCTTCGTTGATAGGATAGCCACTCAGCAGGTGCACTTTGGATGCAAAGCCACTACCTAGAGGAAGCACGGTCGTGGATGTACTGGTGGGTCCCCCAAACCGCGGTAGGAGCGATAGAGAATCTAGGTATGTACTGAATCAACATAGTCGGTCGCTATTCAGTCGAGCTCGGCCTTCGATTTATGTATTCCCGCCCGTAGACAAGAAGATGGGTTGGTTTGCTCTATTGCCCGGACCTCTGAATTTGTGACCTATTTACTTTGTTATGGCGATTAGGTGAACTGATGTTGGCAGCTGTTGGGCGAGATGGCCCAAGTGGTTAGAACGCGAATCTATTGGCCGGAAGGTCCGTGGTTCGAATCCAACCTCTGCCTCTCGACTTTCCCTGTCTAGGCTTGGGCAACCTGGCAGTATGTCAGCCCTCGTGCAACCTTTGGGTGGCATGGCGGTCAGACACCGAAAGGGTGCTACAGCTGAATGTTGGCAGCTAGGAGCTAGATAAATCTACTTCGACCATTATGTACGCATCTACTGGGTCCTGTACTGTGTAATGAGTTCATTTAAAGCCATTTATCCCTTTTCCTACACTGTCCGCAGCAGTGAGATGATAAGCGTCGTCGCTGCATGACCTTCGCCATATCTTGCTAGGATGTAGTGAAGGCCATGGTCGCGGGTGCTCGCTTGGGACTTCTTTAATGTGGCGGTCGGGCCCGGTTGTCGCGATGACACTGCGGCTGCACTGGTTAAAACCACAATGTTTAAGCATGCTATGAAATCCAAAGTGGAACGATCAGAGATCCTGTACTATGAACAGTCTTATCACGAGGCGGTCTGGGGGTAGAATCGTAATGCCTCCCTCCTTTAAGGGAAGCAGCATGTCCATATTTATAGATGCAACGATGTTGCCTTCCCGGGAGGCGGGGCAGGCTAGGGCGACCTTAAAAATGGCATACTTCACTAACTTATCCAACCCAGGAAAACCTGCCAAAGGTTCGGTGCGGCTGCAGACTCATCTGGAGGGCGAAGTCTACATCCCACTTCACTTTCAAGTAAGCTTTCTCTCTACAGCGAAAATGTTAGACTATAGAGTCATTAGATTTCTTAAGCAACCGATTTCCTCAGTCATGTGGGTCAAACGGAACACCCGGTACCTGTCCTGATCTGGGCGATCTGAAAGTATCATTCGCCCGCGCAGCTATTCTCTCACGTACTCGTATCCCCTTCGTGTCTCCTAAGTAGTCCACGGTTTCTCTTAAGCATTGTTTCTTATCAAAACTATGTCGCAGTAGAGTAAGTCAGTAATCTTTCACTAAACTGGAGATCTGGTTCACGTTACAGCCTTCAGTGTCCGTAATCTCTGTCAACAGGCATCCCTTGCTCATGCTTTGCCTTATCTTTGTTGACTGACAAGACCGAAGTTCAGTCATGCGCCTCAGCCCCGTTTCTCACATCTGATTCTCCGGATATTCATGGTCATCACTGGCTGCAGTACGACAGTATTCCCTACTGACGCTTACTTGCTTCACTTCAGATGTCCGGTGATAGTGATACAATGTCCGGTGGTACGTTGGTTTGGGGCTCATACTACTTTAGGTTCCGAGTGAGTTTCGCTGGGTCAGGTTACAGTGAGAGCCGTCCTTGCGCTGTTTCGTTAGCTGGCTCGATTTCACTGTGGCTCTGTCGGCAGGATATTCTGCTTCCTCATTAAATCTCAATCATCGCTGTATACATAGTCCAGGTCATAATTTCGGCTTGTGGTAGGCGGTTCAGCGCCATCACTGTTGACCATCGTTAAATATCGTCAAAAACCGGCTGCTCTGTACGCCGCTAGTTAATCAACCAGAGAATCCCCGGTTTCCGGAGAACAGTAATAGTAATAATCGTTCGTTTGTAGCACCCTTCCGGTGCCTAGCTCTTATGCCGCTTGAAGGAAGGAGTTCTTGCCAGTCGTGATACCTGGGTTGGATTTTGCCCATTGGGTTCTTCCAGTGAGCTCGTACCTTATCCACTGAGTAGTCTCGAGCTGCTGCTTATAACACGACATTCAGCCTCAACACTCTTTTGAAAACCGCTGCGGTAATCCAGTCTTTGTCTAATTTTTCGTTTTGGTGTTATTCTGCGGCGTTAGGAAAGCCATTCTAGCTTAATGAAACGAACACTTGCTTCGACAGATCGCTCACCTGTTTCGTATTATGTTCGCAGCAGAAGCGGATGAAAAGCAAAAAATCGTTCAGCTGGCGCACCTGGCTACCAAGCCACTCGAATAAAAAACGAGGGGTGCTAGGTTGTCCGAGACTAGACAGTAGCAATCTAGTTTAGGATTTAGGTTAGAACGACGAACCATGTGGCCATTAAGTTCGCACCTTAACTGGGTTATGGAGCCCGAGGGGTGGATAATAGCTGTTCTGCTGCTGTGTAACTCTGAGGTAGCACGACGGGCGAGATACTTCCTGGAGCAATCGAAAATCTACAGTTGGCTTCTTACCCAGGTATAATAATGAAAAGCAGATGTATTGTAGTCCATCACGCTTCAGGATAGTTCGGGAAGATCTTGTTGAGATGCCTGAAATTGTCAAAAGCTTCCCTAGGTATCGCATTTGCTACTCAGTACCGTTTTTGGATGATGCATCGTTTAGCATCGCCCTAGGGACTTTGAAGCCGATTGGGACGTATATTTTACGGTGTTGGGTGGTAGTTCACACGCACCCAGGAAAATTCGAATTCAAGGACGTCCATCCACACGGAAGTCCGGTCACATTTTGGCTTTTGTTCATACCAAGTTGACCTCAATAGAGAAATGGACCTACATCCCAAACCGACCGAGCTTACAAAAACGGTGAATGACTCCAGCGATATCTCAAAATCACCGATATTTCAGTGAGCCGATAGGTGCGCGCGCTTGTCGTGAAATCATCTATCGTAATTATCCATCATTTCATAGTGTTTGTATTTTTTCTGCTTCTGCAACAGACCATGGAGGATATGGACCTGGACGATGAACGGAAGGATCTCATCAACCGCGAGATTGAGATTTTCCGGAGGAGAAATGAGGTAGGAGACGCATTCGCTTTGTGTTTACTATTCCGCCCTTTTCTGGAAACATTAGCTTCCAAGTGACTCCCGTTTTTTGCAAGAATCTATTCCGGAGTTCTCCTGACGGATTCCTGCAGTTTTCATACTGTTCAGTGATTTTATGGTGTTGCACTTTCCTGGCCATCTTTCAGTCTGTTTCGCAACACTAGTCGCAAGTCTCGCCAGTCTACCATTCGCATTCTCACCGCTGCATCCAGAGTGTGTTCGGCTAAGAGATAAGCGTAGGTCTGCTATCCATGTGACACCGTGACGTATATCGTAAATTGGAATGGTGCAGCCAAGCAGGTTGGTGTGTTGTTGAAGGAGTTAGAATTATGCTAGAGGCTTCCCATTTGAAATTACAGATCGGTTTTCCTCGATTGATTACTACGTGGTCGTCTTCCGTGAACAGCCTAGACCTCGCTGTCGCCCTTGGTGTAGACGTAATCTTGAGGGAAATGGGCCAGTGGACGAATGTCTGTAATCAACAGACATCTCTTCATTTATCTTGAGTTGTCTTCACAAAACCTACCGCCATTGTACCTAGGTTCCACGGCGCTCCACAGCTGACTTGGGATCCCCTATCTGTAAAAAAGAGATTTGCATCGTTTATTAACTAAGCTCCTTTAGAACCTTGCGAAAACTAGCCTCTTCACTTTAACATCGCTCGCTACTGTCAAAGGCGAATCGACGATCTTGACAATGGGTTCGTTATTCTTCTGAACGCAGCCCCACTGTCCGACCACGGACTACGCCTCCTGTGTAGCGACGACTTTGTTTCTACTTTGCAACGTACCGGTACTATCCAATCCCCGATAAATCTACCAGCAGCAGTTTTTGGTGGTACTGGTCATGACGAGATTACCAGCAGAACTGCTTCTGCTTCTCACGTTTTACAGTTGTCTTACGACCGCATTTCCGTCCGGTGAAAATTTTCATACCAGTAGCCGCTGGGTGATATGCAAGTCCAGATAGCATCGGTCGGTTGTGATGGATGGCGGTTTCTTTCTGAGTGGACCTTTCTGTTCAAAATCGACAAACCGAATTACTGACCTTACGCATGACAATGGTTGACTACCCTGGTGCGCGACTCTTCGTAGTACTTCCTGTTAGTGTGACATGGAGCAGTGTCTCTGGAGGCTGAACGTGGTCAGCTGTATTATACGATCAACTTACAACCGTTGTGTGGGAATTAGCGACGAAATACGTTTTGATCTGTAGGCAAATCAGCGAATTGCTCGGTGTTCCGACAACATGCGCTGGGTTGGTGCTATGCGCACTTGCTCCCATCATCTGCTACTCTGTTTCGGACGTACGCAGATTTACCTTGTACACCAAAAGTGTCGTCTTTCTTTGTGCCCGTAGGTAGCCACTCGGATGGTATAGTTATTCGCTTGTTGGCATAATGGAACTCCCTGATCTGGGACGTATTGGTTGACTTTTAGCCTCGTCTCTATCGTGTCAACCGTCAGTGTTGTATCCCACATGACAGTCTCGGTGAGTCCCATGGTACTGTGATATGTGGTATCCATTGACCATGATGTCTTCTCGGCATCATGGTTTCCTTTCCCTGGAAAGCTCAATGCTTGTATAATTACGATTACCTGAGTTGCGACATTACTCAATTTTTTCTCGGAGCAGAAGGAAGACCAGAGCGAACCAACTCCTCGACGCCCTAAACCACGAGAACTCGATCGACCTAACGCAGGTGGGCTGCAACTCTATGCAGCTTATGTTGATGGTGATAGACGAGAGCGAGAACTGAGACGAGAAAAGCCTGGGGTTGGAAGCTCACGCTCGCCTGAAAAGCGCAGAAGTAAGGTTATCTATTTCTTCTTCCGTATAACGTCATTCAGTTGTAGATGAGGAGGAAGAAGCCATACGAAAGAAACTGGAAAGGAAGTTGCGTGAAAAGGAGGAGTCTTACCAGAAGGTGAGTTGTAGCTAGTAGTACAGTTCTTTGTCTTCGGTTTGAGCAAGTATGTAACACGAGACTGCTCTTCATCCACATGTAACTATTCTGACTTATGCTGTTCTACATGTTATTCAACAAGCCTAATTCCTTAGCATCAAGTTTAGTTCCTGTCCGTTATACAAAATCTCAACGTTCTAGGACAACTCATTGTCCCTGTCGTACAGTTGTATGAGGTCAGATTACTGATAAAAACGATAATACCACATGATTCTTTTCATAGTTTTGTAACACTTCATCTCCTTTAGCGTTTGAAACAGTGGGAGACTCGAGAGAGGAAAAAAGCAAACGAATACGAGCATGAGCGTGAGCATGAACAAAAAAGACAGCGAGAGCTGCAAATTGAGGCCCAGCGCTTAAAAGAGTTTTTCGAGGATTATGATGACGAAGTTGAAGATCCCAAGTATTACCGGTACGTTCTGGTTTGTTACAGTATTCTTGGTGTGTTTTCGTTTGCGTTGCGCCTAGTACTGTAAATGATAACGACGCATAAAACTAGCGTAAAAATGAATGAGAGGAGGAATGAAGGGCTCGAAAATTTGATGTATAGGTTTGCGGGTGCTGAACCACGTAAAAAACGGAATACCGAGATGAGGGGTTCCGCGACAAAGATCAAACATCCGGGCAGGAGCAACTACGTGAAGTGGCGATTTGCACGGTCAACAACTGGGAAGAGAAAGAATGAGCCGCAACCAACGACTTTCGTATTATAAATAAGGTAAGTATAAGCAGCTATCTGCCGATGCATGAAGGTGAGAAAATTCATAGTTTCTCTTTCTATTTGGCTTTAATTCATCTCTGAAGGATATACCACTCAACAGTACAGCATGGTTGGTTATGTTCAGCTGTAAACGTAACCACTTTGTGCGAAGAGCAACGAATATGAACGTGTGTGCAGTTGCACATACTGAGGGCAGTAATCAGTGTTGAGATATATTGGTTGGTTTTTGCTGATATGTTTAATGCAGACGCGGCACCCTTCTGCATTGAACAAGAGCCACTCATTTGGGTGGTTCAACCGATCTTTGGGGGGACATGCACTACAAATCTCAAGAATAAGTACTGACTAGCAAACCTTGATTTTCGGCATAAATACATCGGAACACTGAAAGTAGTAGTATCTCACCATCTGTAAAACATAACGATAAGCTCACGAGGATCATCCATATTCTTTTACTACTGTCACTAACATTGGTGTGTGATGAAACCACTGGAACAAGTGACAAAACATTTTAAGAAAGGCTATCTCTGCACAAACGAAGGACACTGTGAACTAGAACTTAAGTCAAAAGCCCTGCTTCATACTTTCCCTCTGACACTCCACTTAATTGCGCTTGCGTTTCTAACCGACCTAAAGCAGCCACCTTAACGTGGTGGTCGGGCTTGAGTGCTGCAATGATCCCGCGGGCTACACTGGCTGCAACTTCGTCCCATAAGGTGCAACCATGCCAGGAAGGCCAAAGGGCCGTCACGAAGAGACTGGACC